AGGTTTTGTGTAGAAACGTGTGTTTAATTGTGTGTTTGGACAAGTGTGGTTTTCAAGAAACCTGTGATGATTTTATTTCGCTGCGTGTTTTATTTTAAAATGATTTTAAATTCCCGTACTTTTGGTTCTATTATGTTTTATCGGTATTCGTCCATGTGGCATATCCTGTTCACGGGATGCGGGATTCGGGTGTCACATTATCCTTGCAAAAAGTACAATTTTCCAGGTTAGCAAATAACTTCTCGTGTCTCAAGACTTCCAAAACGAGTTTCAAATGATCAACATGCTCATCCAAACTTTGGCTATAGATAAGAATATCATCAAAGTACACAACCACAAACTTGCCAATGTAAGATCTCAAAACATGATTCATCAATCGCATGAACGTGCTGGGTGCATTAGTCAAATCAAAAGGCATTACTAACCATTCATACAAACCATGCTGTCTTAAAGACAGTTTTCCATTCATCCCCCTCACGCATTCTGATTTGGTGGTATTCACTACTGAGATCAATCTTAGAGAATACGCAAGAACCATGCAATTCATCAAGCATATCATCTAAACGCGGAATAGGGTGATGATACTTTACTGTGATGTTATTGATTGCTCGACAATCAACGCACATCCTCTAAGTACCATCTTTCTTCGGCACAAGTAGAACTGGAACAGCACATGGACTTATACTTTCCCTCACATATCCTTTGTCTAGCAGGTCATTGACTTGCCTTTGAAGTTCCTTCGTTTCCTCAGGGTTACTTCTATAGGCTGGTTTGTTTGAAATGCTTGCACCCAGAACAAAGTCAATCTGATGCTCAATGCCACGAACCGGCGGCAATCCTCGGGGAATGTCTTTGGAGAAAACGTCCTTGTACTCCTGCAAAACAACTTTAAAAACACTTGGCAAAGATGAAGTAAGATCATTAAGGTTAGAAAAAAGCCTCCTTGTACAGAAGTACAACGATTGGCTATTTTGAAAACAAAGCTTTTTTAACCTCACAAGCTCTCATGAAGAAATTCTTTTGTTTCCTCTCGGGTTTGCTGTCAAAGGTCTGTTTCTGGGTTTTTCTCAAGAACTCTCCATTTTTGTGATCTACCTCATGGTCACTCAAGACGTTGCTGCCATGTTCATGTGCTTTCTCCTGCTTGACATGATCTTCATAAATTTCCTTCGGAGTTAAAGGAACAAGTCTGATTTTGCTTCCTTTAAATTCGAACGAGTATTTGTTACTGTAGCCATCATGTTGCACACGTCTATCAAAATTCCATGGCCTGCCCAACAACAAATGGCTAGCCTGCATCGGAACTACATCACAAAGGATTTCATCATCATACTTTCCAATGCTAAACGGAACTCTCACTTGCTTGGAGGCGTTCACCTCTCCACTATCATTCAACCATTGCAACCTATAGGGTTTAGGATGCTTGGTTGGTTGCAGGTTCAACTTCTCCACCATTGTAGCACTAGCAACATTCGTACAACTTCCCCCATCAATAATCACACTACATACCTTGTTTTGAATAAGGCATCTAGTATAGAAAATGTTCTCCCGCTGCACTACCTCTTCTTGCTTTGCTTTGAGATTCAGAATTCTCCTTATAACCAATGCTTCTCCTTTGGCAGGTAATTGC